ATATAAATAAAAAAGAAAGAAAATAAAACTACATACAAGAGAAGGTCTTCTTCTGTTGACCTGTGTAAGTAAATTTTCGTATGAAACCATCATCCCGGCTGGGTCTATGCGTGTGTTTGTGGTGCTGCTGATGCTGGCGGCTTGGTTTTTTTGTTGTTTAAGGAGAGCATTAAGCAGCTGTACAGTACGAACTATCTGCTGCTGTTCTTGGCGTGTTGGTTGTGGTGATCTGTGTGTTCTGTTGCTGCTGCTGTTGCTGCTGCTGTTGCTGCTTTTTTGTTTTCTGCTTTCTTTGTACTTTATCACCGCGCTGCTGCCGTCTTCGTAGCTTTCTTCACCTTCATCACTACTCTCAAAATTAAATGCAGCGGGAGTATACAACACTTCGTCTCTGTTTTTTTTTTTGTGTTTCTGCTGTCGCGGTGGGTAGTGGCTACACGGGCTAGCTTTCTGTTTTCCTTTTTTCGTTTCGTGCATATCGTACGGGTCCTCCTCTATACCCCCCTGCCTTCTCAGTGCATATTTCCTCTTGCTGCTGCTTCTGCTGCTGTTGCTGTTGCTGTTGCTGTTGCTGTTGCTGCTGGGTGCTGCTGCAGCAACAGAAGCAAACTGCTCCTCCTCTGTTTCGGTAGAGCTGTTATCTGATGATTGGCTGTTTTCGTATTTTGTGTTTTTACTTCTTTTGTTGTTGAAATCAACAAAATCACCGCTTTTCTTTTTCTTTGTATATATATCGTTGTCCTCCTCTGTTGTATAAAAAGGGGAATCGTGCTGATGCTGGTGTTGCTGCTGCTGTTGTTGCTGCTGCCGCTGTTGTTGCTGCTGCTGATGCTGTTGTTGTTGCTGCTGATGCTGTTGTTGCTGCTGCTGATGCTGTTGTTGCTGCTGCTGATGCTCTTGCTGCAGCAGCTGCTGCTGCTGTTGTTGTTGCTGCTGATGTTGTTGCTGCAGCAGCTGTTGCTGCTGTTGCTGCTGCTGCTGCTGTTGCTGCTGCTGATCTTGCTGCTGCTGATGTTGTTGCTGCAGCAGCTGTTGCTGCTGTTGCTGCTGCTGCTGCTGTTGCTGCAGCTGCCGCTCCTGCTCCTCCTCCCGCTCTCTGGGCCCCTCTGTGCAGATGCAGGCATATCTACGTCAGCACAAACCCTAAACCCTAAACCCTAAACCTTTAAACCCTAAACCCCAAACCCTAAACCCTAAACCCTAAACCATGAACTTCATTGCAACAACTAAAAAATAAAAGGAAGTTTTTTCACGCATACATCAGCGAGCTTTGCGAGGTGACAGAGAAAACCGAAAAAAGACAAAGGCAAATACAATACAGCCGACAACACCCAATAGATGGATTTGAGCTGCAATACTATATATATTGTATATAACTACAATAAGTATACATATATATATACATATATATATATACATATATATATATATACGTATATATATATATATATATATATATATATATATATATAT